CTCTCTCTCTCTCTCTCTATCTGTGTGTGTGTGTGTGTGCACTTGCCGAAGTCATGACTTGCAAACATTTATTTATAAATAAGTATGCACAAATGAAAAAATTTGAAATTGTCAACTTTTTCATTTCACTGAAGCATGCGTTAAACGCTTTTATCTTCCTTTCTTTCTATCTTGTTTTCTTTCATTTTATCGCTGAAACCAAGTGGCATCAGTTCCGTGTTTTCACACGCTCAAATCGGAATAGTCTATTATTCATGAGGTATTCGCCAGGCGTAACGGTTGTGCGAACTAACTCAGAAGCTCACTAAGGAATTAACTAACGAAGTGAGGTACCAGCAGAATTACAATAGAGATTTCGCAATAAATGTTTTCTCAAAGAATTTTCATTTTTTTTGTGGTTCTGGAAGGAAATGGATAACAATCCCAACCATGAGGGAATTTGAATTTGTATTAACAACATTAAATAAAAATAATTACCTTTATAGCAGAAACAGTGTATTCGATATAGTAACAATACTACTACTAACACTACTACTACTTATTATTATTATTAGTAGTAGTAGTTGTAGTAGTATTAGTAGTATTCCCTAATGTGTGAGCTGTATTTGTGAGTACAATGTTTCAGTATGGGCTACCCAGGAATCCCTTCAATGGGTCTATCGGAACCTTTTCCAATCAACCCGAGGGATTCAACTACAACTGGAATTGTTCATGTCCTCATTTTTGAGATTTCTACTTCAAGATCTTTGTATTTTGATTGGTTTTTGAAGATTTTCAAAACTACTTTACATTAGGAACAGCCATATCAATAAGAAAGCACATTCTGTTTTTGTGGTCTTCAATCAAGATGTTTGGGCGATTAGCTTTGAATGTTTTGTGTATGTCTATTATAAAATCCTTTAAAATTGTTACAGGTCCTATCTCTGTAACTGATTTCAAACTCTATACCAATTTCTTGCAACTTCCTTTTTGTGAAACTTGCAGATTTCCAATGCCGATATTAGCACACTCTGTCATGCTGATTTTTATATTCAATTATTATTATTATTATTATTATTATTATTATTATTATTATTATTATGTTATGTTACCCGCTTTTTATCCTGGAGCCGGGTCCAAATTATGGTCCTTAGGTCCTATAGAAGAATCGTCATTTATTTGACAGCACTTTTCTTAGTATATGGAATGTTCCTTTTCTCACAAGGCCCAGAGCTCCCATTACTATTGGTACAGTATCAGTCTTTATTCTCCACTTCCTGTTAATCTCGATCTCCAGGTCCTTGTATTTGGACAATTTCCCGATAATTTTCATGGAGGTGTACAGATGGTACTGTTATGGCGATAAGTATTCAATTCTTGAATTTCTTTTCTTCTTTTTCTTTTTATTTTTCTTCTTCTTCTTCTTCTTCTTCTTCTTCTTATTATTATTATTATTATTATTATTATTATTATTATTTTTTTTTTTTTTCTTTTCGACCGGAGATCTTGCATTATCGGTGTCCTCCATCAAGCCGTACGACTTCCGACTTTCGCAGAATATCTGCAGTGCCAAAGACGGACTTTGGAATCGATGAGATAGTAGCCTTTACTTGATTTTCTTAATATATGACTTTTAGTTCGATGATATCGACCCCAACGATAAATGAGACAATATTAGCTCTGAAAATTACTAAGATTATTTTTTTTAACTTTTTAGAGATTATGAATTATTATTATTATTATTTCCAATTTTTCTGATTTTTTATTTGTTAAAATCTTTTATCAAGTCCAGGTAAAGGAGGAGTTTTCTCAAAATGTTATTGAGCGTATTACAATAAGTTTTTCTGAGTATGTTAGCCGTAAACAAGAATAAAATCTTTGGTATCTCAGATAAAGAGAGGTTTTTCCGGGATTCTCTCAATTTATGCTGAAAAATGCTTTGTAAACTTTCCTCATGTTTTTTTATTATTGGAATACATTGTACTTGAATGTAATTTCCATTTATAGGACTTTATATTTTGAGGTTTTCTCAAGTTAATTCCTTGAGATGTTTTTATCAGACGGGACGGCCGTGGCAAGGAGATAGCGCTTACGTTGTTTGAAACATTTTCTTATTTCTGGTTTATTGGCTCTTGTAGTGCACGGTGGAGTAATGGATAGCGACTCGGATTGAGGAATTGGAAAGCCGAGTTCGAATTCCAGTCAGATCCACTACATTCACTTACGTGCTATTAACCTTGGGAAAGATATGAATCCTCTTCGTCTTCTCAGGCCGTCCTGCTATTTATAGCTGGGTAAATACCAGGACAGACCGAGTTCTGTAGCTTTGGTCTACCGTTGAAAGAAATGGCAACCTACTGCGGGAAAAAAATCTGCCTCGTCAGTCATGTATCGAAAGATGCATGATCGCTAAAGCGTGTATCACGCATGACACGTAACTGACTGATGTCGGTATGTAAGAGTTTCAGTGGTGCTTTGGTTTCATACCATTTTCTGCATGGGGATGGTTATAATGTTAGCATACTTTCTAACCATTTCATGTCTTTATTTAAATCCATTTAGAATTAGGGTAATGTATGGTAGAGCATCCAGATATTAAACAGCCGTTTGTTTCCCTAGCATTTGCACAAAACAATATTTTCTTTAAGATATCGTAGAACCTTGTTAGCAGTTTTCGATATTGTGTGGCTACGACAAATCTTTGTTCTTAATATTGCTAATAACGTCTTAATAAAAATACTAGTATTAATAATAATATAATAAATATACTTGTATTACAAAATAAAACATTAATAATAAAAATATTAATATTATCAATTTAATGTCAATTGTTAAAATGATATTAACATAATTAATATTAACATCATTTTAAGACGAAACTAATGAAACATAATGATAATAATTTAACAACATTATTTTAATATTAAAATTATTTATTTTATTCTTTATTGCTTTACTTGGGGTAAAATTATTAAAAACATTAATACATTTAATAATAATACGGTAATATTTTTACAATCTTAATATCTTAACAATAATTATTATAAAATAAAAAATAAAATATTAATAATAATATTATTTAAAATAAATAATAATTATTGTTGTTATCATTATTATGAAAAGTCAAAAAGGAGTAACGGGTACCATTGGAAAACCAACGAGAAACTTGAAAAAGCGCTGAGGGTGAATTGGAATTGAGACAAATATTGTAGACCTCCCCAAAAAATGGTCATCATTTACTCTGCGAGGATTCTCTAAAAAAGTTATTCGGACTATTGTCCTCATCTTTGTCACTATATTTATCACAACGTTTCGTCCTTTCAGTATCTGTCTATATTTCTGAGATGAGGTATTATGTACACTATTTACATTATTCGGACTATTGTCCTCATCTTTGTCGCCATATTTATTACAACGTTTCGGCCGTTGTACGCTTCGGCCTTCTTCCGGTGGTTGGAATGTCGAACTGAACCCTTTATTTCACTCTCTGGGGTAGACTGTTCTAGTTCCACGTGCCATGTTTAAGGGAATCAGTTATCTCCTGTGCCATGTTTAAGGTTATCAGTTATCTCCTGTTAATTTTCCCTCTGAAAGTTCTCCACTGCCTTAACCGGGTATTGAACTTACTTATGGCACAGTGAATAAAGGCGTTAGTTAGATCCAGTGACAAGAACCAAAGACTGTGAGTTCAATACCCGGTTAAGGCAGTGGAGAACTTGAAGAGGGGAATTAACAGGAGATAACTGATAACTGACATCCATTAGTGTACATAATACCCCATCTCAGAAATATAGACAGATACTCCAAAATGTTCTTGCGTGAGGAGTCATCTTGGCACTATGTCTAAAGAAGAGAATTTCCATTGACGATATCAATGTGCAACACCAACATAATAATAATAATAATAATAATAATAATAATAATAATAATAATAATCTGTGATAAATATCCAGAAACGATTGATCATCTTGTATCAGGTTGTACGGTGTTGGCACCCACTGTATATAAAACCCTATATGACAGAGTGGGCCAATATCTGCACTGGAAAATCTGCAATTTCTATGGGAAGGAAACTGAAAGAAACTGGTATGAACACCAACCAGACCCGGTTATGGAGATAGGACCTGTTACAATTCTATGGGACTACACAATACACACTGACAGAACAATCAAGGCCAACCGGCCAGATATTGTTATTAAAGACCACAAACAAAAACCGATGCCTCCTTATGGATATGGAAGTCCCTGCTGACTCAATGTATCTTTGAAGATATTAAAAAAGTTGTCAAAGTACAAGGACCTTGAAATAGAAATCTCGAAAATGTGGCATATGGGAACATCAACAATCCCTGTTGTAGTTGGAGCCCTAGGACTGGTTGGAAAAGATTGCAGAGACTAATTGAAGGGATTCCTGGATGTCCATGCCTCAAGGAGATACAAAAATTGTTCTGACAAGTACAGCCCACACCTTTACGAAGGGCTTTATCTATGTAATTTAATTCTTTTTTTTTTTTTTTTTTGTCATGACGCCATTTCTAACCTTAGGTCCCTGGGCGGGACCCGGAAAGAAATGTGTAAACGCCAGAAATCAAAGAAAATAAAAATAATAATAATAACAGAAAATATATAAAAAAAAGATTGAGGCACAACCACTTGTATTTGTTAAAAGGACGTCCATAATGTTTGAGTTACTTTACAAGATTTATTTTAAAGGAGATTTATGACTACTCAATGGGAACATATTTGGAAAAAGATATTCAGATCCAACTGCGTCTTCTTACAGCTGCTCTAAATCGTCCGACATTTTTGTCCATCAAAAAAAAATAAAAAAATAAAAAATAAACACAGTGTGTGGAAGTTGCGAGTTCGAAAGTCAGTGTAAACAAAACGACTTGGAAAACATTTTAAATACGACTTTTGCTTTCATGATTACGATATTCCATTTTGAAAATTCTTTTTTTTTTAAGTATGATCGTTCCATCTCTTCCTTTCTTTTTATTTTCGTGAATGTCAAAATGAATTTACACCAAACCTGAAAAATAAAATAGAAATTTTGAAATAAAAATAAAAAATGGTGCTGAAAACTATCACTAAAATCCAGCATTCATTCATAGACTCTTTTTTTTTTTAAACAGCTCGTACGATCACCTAAGTTAAGCAACGCCGAGCCTGATCAGTTCCAATTCCAGTCGAGTTCGTTATATTCACTCACGAGCAAATAATGTTGGGAAAACCACCTCTCCTCCCCTCCAGCTATGGGTTAATTAGTAGGACTTGTATGAGCAAATCATTATTATCCACAAAAAATACTTATTCGAAAAGTAATTTCTAACATTAAATAACCACAAAGGGTTGATAAGCCATAAAAACAAATCAATCAATCACCTATATGTATTTCATTTATATTCTATTTACAGAACATTTTATTTATATCTGAATTTTTACACACACACACTGAAAATATACTCTTATAAATAGAAAAATTCCCACCAGCGCGACAATTTCAGGCAGAAATTAACCGTACGTAACCGTAAGTTCTACACTAATAGTTTCTTCTCTAGCAATGTGAAACACTTATCTGGTTTCTTGCTTTTCTGTCAACTATAATCTTCAAAGATTTAAATGTAACGTCAATTGTCTTCTGTCACCTTATATCCTGTTTTTTTATTGCTATTTCTCAATAACGTTTACTCAATTTAATTCCCTCTCAGTAATCTCACTGCTTCTTAGTCGCTTTATCGCCTTGCTTGAGCCGAAATGACTAAAAGAAAAAAAATTGGTACAAGAATCCATTGCTAGGTCAGCTGCTAAGAAAGTCGCTTCACCGTGTCGTGCAAGACATTTTTTCTCTCCAGATTCTACCTTTCGTCCATGGGAAAAAATATTGCTTCCATATATGGTCCGCTGCTCCAGCTATTTACCTTGAGCTCCTTGATATGACCCAAAGAAGAATCAGCAATATTATTGGTCCTGATCCGGCAGCTCGGCTTCAGTCACTTCCCCACCACCGTAAGCTTGCCTTTCTGTGCCATTTTTATAAATATTTTCATGGTAATTGTTCAGATGAGTTTCTCATTATGGTTTTTGAACTTAATCAGTGGATGTAAAACTCACAAAATGGAAGATTTTATAATGCACTAAATGATCTAAAGAAAGGAAACAATTGGAAATAAACACAAAACACTTCCCCACCGCCGTAAGGTTGCCTCTCTGTGTCTTTTCTATAAATACTTTTATGGTAATTGTTCTGCTAAGCTCTTCACTATGGTATCTAGAGTTTTTGAATTTAAGCACAGTACTTAACTGGCGTCGAGATCTCACCAATTTACAGTTGAACTGGCTAGATGTAGCCGTAAGTTCTATGCTAACAGTTTCTATTCTCGCACTTCTCACTTGTGGAACACCCTTCCGTCTCCATGCTTTCCAGCCAACTTTAATCTGCAAAAAATTAAATGCAATGTCAATCCTTATCTATTGTCCTCCTGATTACTTTTTCCTCTTCCCGCTCATTATTATAATGTTTCTGTTCTTAATTCTTCCACGCCCAGTAACACCTTGTGTCTTAGTGGCTTTACTGCCTTACATGGCACCATACAGATTAAAAATAAGAAAGAGTGACAAGTGGGATATTTCCGTCCATTTCGCAGACTAAGAATTTGCTTCTACAGAATACAATTTTCATATTAAGAAAAAACAAATCTGATTCCGTTACGAAAAAATAAAACTATTAAGTTCTACTTACTTTGATTTAAAGAAACTTGTAGGCAAAAAAGACGCCAACCAAAATGCCGATTAAAACCATGACCACACCGAGTCCGGCCATTGATTCTACACAGAAGAAAAAAAGTAAATGACACTGTAAGTATTACATGAATTTTAATCTAGGATAGAGGCTGTTGCAAAATACAGTAATGTCAAATGACTCTAATACAGATATAAATAAAACAAAAACAAGCACCCAGGCGAACAGAACGTCTGGGTACTAGGAGGTGATAAGCTAGTGTAAATTAGTTTGATTTATAATACCCACTTGACCTCAGCGATCCTAAGACATTTTCCTTCTAGTGTTTTGTCTTTTTTTCATTTTAAACCGAGGAAGCCAAAATGGCGGAACGCGTCGTTAATAAAAAAAAAATGTTCGCTTTGTTTCATCATCTTCAGATTTGCTAGTTTAAAACAGATTTTCTGTCTGATGTTGAGTTATTAATAACTGCACCCTTTAAACTCGGACAAATGACTTAATCTTTGTTGCTAGTGCCGCAAGGTTTCAACCGACGTTGCGAACCCATCTTCCAGACTTCCTCAGGTGTATTTTGATCCGAGTATCTTTCAATGATTTTCGAATTGAACCCTTTAATTGATATAAGGGGGGGGGGCTTATTGTTCACGCTCCGCTGTCCTTGCTGAGGTTTATTTCGTTTTCTTCTTAAGACTGCTCAGTTATTAAATATTGTAATTATTAAAAAGAAACGAGATCTTGAGCAAAAAATTCATAACAATGGCGGACAATGCTTCATCTCATAAAAGTGTAAATGAAAGTAAATACTAGTAAAAAATTAATAACAATGGTTGACAATGCTTGGTCTCATGAAAATAAAAGATGAAAGTAATTACTAGTCAAAAATGAATAATACTAGTTGGCACTAAAAGATGAAGATGAAAGCAAATACTAGTCAAAGTTGAGAATGCTTCATCTAAGAATGAAAATAGAGATACTCGTCAAAAATGAGTAGAAATTAGGGGACAAGTACTCTTTTGTTGTGCCACCGATTTTCCGAGCACTAATGATCCCACTTATCTTTTAATCCGGGCAAAAGCTATAATCTCCAGCTATTCAAGTGTAATGTCAATCGACATCTCCAGTTGCCTTGATCTATCAGCTACCCTTCTCCTCATCCTTTCTTCTATCACTCCTATCTGATCTTGCTCTAAATTTTCTGTAACCCCTTGCGTCCCAGTGGCTTCCCGCCTTGCTTGGGGTGAAATGCTTAAAAAGAAAAAAAAATCAAGCATTTGAATTTTTTGTTATTAGCAGACTAATTTACCGAGCGACGACAGGTGGCGCTCTATCTAATCCTTGTTTAACAGAAGTTTTGAATGTCAGAAAGTGAGTTCAGCATGCCGAGTTCAAATTACCCCCTAGGTCGTTGCGTTCACATTCGCAAATTTACCATTTGAGAAAAGAATAAATTCCTTCTCGGGCAGACTGATCTTTCTATACCTGATTAGCAACCAATCATGGAGAAGGATAACATTGAATTCCATCTGGCCGGGGATGGCTTGGCATGTTCACTCCGTAAAATGCCTACTTACTACGGAAACCGAAGCAGCAACATGAGTGTGGGGGACACTGTAGCCCTATTCTCACCATGGTGGGGGGGGGGTGAATAGGGCTCGTCTCGAAATATGAATTCCTAACAGTCGAGATTCATAATTAGTGGGTCAAAAATGTACATTTCTTTTTATGTGCCATGTCCTTTCAGGACGTAGGCGATCATGGCTCTCCACCTTTCTCTATCCCTTGCAGCTCTCAACAAGTTCCTTCTCTCTGATTCCTTCCCCACACCACGTTCTGTCATCCCGCCAGGTATGCCACGCGTTGTTTTCCCTTGTCTCTCTTTCCCTCTATTCGACCCGTGAGTATCAGATTCTCCAGGCTCTCCTTCCTCATTATGTGTCCCAGAAACTGTAGCTGCCTATTCCTGATATTAAATATAAGCCTCCCCCTTGTTTCCAACCCCTCTAAGATCTCGTCGTTGCTCACTAGCATCCTTCTGTAGAACTACATCTCTGTCGTCTCGAGTCTCTTCTTCATCTTCGAGGAAATCGTCCAGCATACTATTGAATTGTCATTGGGTAGTTTATGTTGGTTCGGAAAAAAGGTTGTAGAATCCTATATACCGGAAAGTCGGTGGTGATTCTCTAGATAAATATTATATATTAGCAACAAATCATGGAGAAGGATAACATTGAATTCCATCTGGCCGGGGTTGGGCTGGCATGTTCACTCCGTAAAATGCCTACTTACTACGGAAACCGTAGCAGCCATATGAGCGTGGGACACTGTAGCCCTATTCTCACCATGGGAGGAATAGGGCTCGTCTCGAGATTCATAATTAGTGGGTCAAAAATTTACTATTGAATTGCTATTGTGTAGCTTATGTTGGTCTGGAAAAAACGGTTTTTTAACCCTATATACCGGAAAGTCGGTGGTGATTTTGTGTATAACTATTTATACATTATTAAGAAAATTTGATACTTACTGGAAGTGTACGTGGTTTTCGAAGGGGCTTTTTGGTATTTTATCATGTCGATACTTACAATATTGGGTTTAATGACCGTGATCTACAAAAGAAAAAAAGATAGATTGAGAAATCTTGTCTCGCTTCTTTAACCATTCTCACAAAACCATTTGAGAGACTTAGTAAAGACACCTGGCAAACGAACAGAAAGCAGGAAGAAGTAAATTTCCAAAGCCCTACTGCGATGTTTAAATTTGATTCACCGATACGGAAGAATATACAATAATACCTTCAGATACGAGCGTATCGACATACGAGTTTTTGGAGATACAAGCCGGACTTAGGCCGATTTTTTTGCCTTGAGATCCGATTTGAATTTTGAGATAAGAGCGAGTTTCACTTTAAGCGTTTCACGCCAAGCAAGGCGGGAGTGCCACTATCACGCAAAGGGTTACAGAGAGTGGGAATGAGAGTGAAGAGGCGTGATAGAGGAAAGGATGAAGAGAAGGACAGTGAATAAATCAAGGCATCCGGAGATGTCGATTGACATTACATTTGAATAATTGGAGATTATAGCTATCAGGAAAACAAGTAATAAGAAGGGACTTCCACACACAGGAAGTGCGGGACATGAAGCTATTGGAGCAGAAGAAACGGCTACATTAAACCGTTTCAACAGTGAAAGGGTGGGACCGAGATGCCAACCTAGTTGCACGTTTAAATTCATGCAGTCTGGGAACTAGCGAAAGTATTTGTAGAAAAGACAGAGGGAGGCGACGGCACCTCTGCGAGAGAGTGACTGTAGACGAGATGCCAGAGTTTATATATATATATATATATATATATGTGAGATAACAATATCTAGATTTTTATATCAAGAGCATTATTGGGGGAAAATGTATGTCAAAGCGGAAAATAAGTTTTCGTGTGTCGCGTTTTGTCCTTGGCGGCTTTATCGGACGAAATTTGTTCTGTTGAAAGGACTACACATGCACACGAACGAGTGGCGCTGGGAATTTCAAATTTAATCTTTTTTAAAAATAATCTCGCCGATTTCATTTAGATTCTTTCACTTTTTGCTTCCATCACTTTTGTTAGTAGATAGAACTTCTGCCAGGAACGGTGAAATTTTGTTAAAGCCAAGGCGCAAATTTACTGTTGATGACCTTGCGATCAAAACACTCAAAATATATTCGTCTTAGTCTCGCTCTCTCTCTATATATATATATCGACTCTCCCGTCGCGTTCGACGTATGAGGGTCAGGCCGATAAGTCTCCAGGAAACCAACAACCCGACACCGGCACATGAGATTTGATTATAGTGGTGAAGGCCTCGTGCAGGACCAGCCACACTTTTTGGAGGGACGAATACAGAAACCTGGTGCAACGTATGCCACAAGGTTCCCAAACGACCCTCCGCAGGTTTTTGAATTCAGAGTTGTCCTTCTCCTAGACCAGTTGCCATCCAAGGCTATAGAACCCAGTCTGTCCTGCTATTTTACCCATAGCTGGAGGGAGATGAAGAGGATACATATCTTTCCCAAGGGTATTAGCACGTAAGTGAATGTAATGGATTCGACTCGAACGCGGCTCTGATTCGAACTGGAACAGTTCTAAAATTGTTATAATATATATATATATATATATATATATATATATATATATAAAAATAATGTTAATTAATGTTTAAAAAATGAAAATGTTTAAATGAAATGTCCATGAAGATGGTCTTAAATAGACCGAAACGTCCGACGTCGACTTTATTTTAACATTAATAATGCATATTCAGAATTTTGTTTTTTTTCTGTATTTTTCTTTCATACTGTCGGATTTATATCCATATATTTGCTTACATACTGTCTACTGAAAATATACAAACCTGAATTTACTTTATAACGTGGAAGATTTCAAGCTTGGACGAGGGAATCTATTGATCAAGTAAAGAATGGAATTTTTATCGAACTGTTTTTTAGAACTGTTCCATCGTTTTTAAAATCACTTTTGGATTTACATTGTAACGGGAAAGACTTTCAAGCTTGTTGAAGATATAAGAACCAATTGATCACTACGTATTCCAACATCAACGGAAGAGATTTTTTAATTGTTTATAAAAAATTTTTCATTCGACTTTTGATATTTTAATTTTTGGAAATCATCTTCGTATACGTCTTAACAACATCGCCCACGTGACGACTACGTGATCATATTTAAACAGAACGCTGATCTGTATAAAATTTCAGTTATCTGTTTGAATTAGTTGGGCTCTTATGTCCATCGTCTTTGTGTTAAATTGTTATAAGTTATAATGTTAATTATGTTTAAATGAAAATGTCCATGAAGATGGTCTTAAATAGACCGAAACGTCCGACGTCGACTTTATTTTTAACATTAATAATGCATATTCAGAATTTTGTTTTTCTGTATTTTTCTTTTCATACTGTCGGATTTATATCCATATTTGCTTTATATATATATATATATATATATATATATATATATATATATATACACACACACACACACACATATATATATATATATATACACACATATATATATATGTATATGAAAGTGAACATTGAAGTCAACACTCAGAGGCCACAGGCTGTTTCATGCTAGACGTAATCGTGACACTATATACAAATCAAATATAAATATATATATGTGCACCTCTCTCTCTCTCTCCTCCTCGCTCGCTCTCTATCTCTCTCTCTCTCTCTCGCTCTCTCTCTCCAGGAAAAAAAACTTTATAAACAAGTATAAACCCGAACTAAATAGATCATAACCTCACACACAAAAACACACAACATGCATATAAGGTGACCAAATGCAATGATCAAATCACTCACATACATGAACGCACGCTCATATACGGGAAACACGAGGGTATATATATGTATGCACACATTTATATATATATATATATATATATATATATATATATATACGCATGTTGACAAAACATGGGAACTACTCACGAGCACGCACCCAAACCCCACACAATTTAGGAAGTACGTGTGTGTGTAGGTACGTATGTGTGTGTATGTATGTGTATATGTGTATGTGTATACTGGTTCCATGTAGCTTGGTAAGTATGTGTGTATATGTGTGTGTGTGTGTGTGTGTGTGTGTATGTACTGATTCTTTGTGGTGGGATGGTGTGTATGTGCGTATGTGTGTGTATGCGTGTATATGTACAAATGAGTCTACTAATTCCTCGTAGTAAGACAGTATATGTATGGAGGGGAAATATACGCACGCATATATACACGCATGCTGACAGAAACACACGAAAATGGAAACAGATCTAAGAACACATAGGGGTCAGTAAAACATTAAAAGATAAAATGCCGATACGCAATTCATCATTTCGCTTGGACCAACCTTAATTGTTTTATGACCCTTCACGCAGAACTCTTCATTGCCAATTCAAGAAAGAAATTCGGATTACTAACATAGGAAATGTCTCATATCGAGAATATTTAACATCGAAAAACAAAAGAAAAATTAATTATTTTTAATAACATGTGGAAATCTCCGCTTTTACCTGAAGACGGTCACGAGACCAGAAACACGTGTAGTAAAAGTATGTAAAACAAAGCATAATATTTTTTCTAAATAAATCTACATTACAACCAAAAACGTTTGCGGCACCTCTCTTCTCTTCTTTTTAATATACATACTTTTCTCTCGTTGGAACCACTACAAGTTCTTTCTTTTATATATATATATATATATATATATATATATATATATATATATATATATAATCATTTATTTAGAAAATTTATAACATAAACATGTTATAAAATCACTTACAAAAATAGATTTTCACTTGATAAGACACCTGGAGTCTTGGAAACAAATGGCTATTTTTGTAGTGATTTTATAATATGTTTATGTTATAAATTTTCTGAATAAATAATTATATCTGCTCGACTTTGTATTGAGCACTCTTTTAAGAATAGTAATTGTTGGTTATTGGAATTCATTCCGTATACACCAATTATATACTTGGGTATATATATATATATATATATATATATATATATATATATATATATATAGAGAGAGAGAGAGAGAGAGAGAGAGAGAGAAAACTGGCATAGAAAGAAAGAAACTGGCATGGTTAGATAGATAGATAGATAGATAGATAGATAGATAGATAGATAGATAGATAGATAGAAACTGACATAGATACATGGATTGAAAGACAGAAATAAAGTAGCATAGATAGATAGATAGATAGATAGATAGAAAAAATGGTATTTTTCCGCAGTGAAAAAATTCTGATATACCTCTTTTCCGTTTAAAATTTCAACTTCAAGTGTGTTGTCTTTGAGTTTTTCCGTGAGCGTCTTCACTGCTGTATCCAAGGAGACTTCTTTCCTTGGATTGGCGACATCACCCACAATGGGTGCGACATCAACCAGTTCAAAGGTTATAAAAATAAGCTCATAACCGAAAACTATCTGAAATATACAAATACACACAAAGATTGACAGGGCTTAAATACAGAACAAATTGAGTAATCCTTTATCCAAAATCCTTTATCCAAAATCCTTTATTCAAAATTCCAAAATACGAAAGTTTATCAGGTGCTGATATTACTTACCACAAACTGAAAATTTCAGAAAGCACTGGGGAGATTCCTAAGAGATACGCAACTGTTGTAAGTGAACTTATCTACCCTTGGCGGGAGTTCCCCAGCCCAGCTACACTGGCATTAGTGTTTTTGTTAGTAATCGTTACAGCAACACCATCGTTCGTGGTTTACTTATCAGGTGTTTCGTACTCAGTAAAGATATTATTTAAAATGTCAAAAGTCTTGCTTTTATATATTTTTTGTAAGTAGTTATTATGTTTTTTGTACGTGTACGAAAAGTACAAAACATTATTTTTACTTGAAATCTTAATTTCACCAGTTAAAAGTCCGTGTGATCATTATATGACAAGCGTCATTAACTGTATCGATATGTACACAAAATTTATTAAATTTTATATAAAACTACTTTCAGGGTATAAGCTATTTATATAAAACTATTTTCAGGGTGCGTATATAAGCCGTGTTATGGAATGTAAAGGGATATCGTGCTTATGCTTGGGTTCCATTCCCAAGCTGGCCCCTTTTATTGATGCTGTATACAATTTAAATAGCCTGTATTCCCAAATTCTTTCAGTCCCAAGAATTTGGCATAAAGGATTCTCAACCTGTATTAAATTGCAATCAAGTATTTCTTTTAACGGGAAAACTTTATACAAGAATATCTTTTTTTTTTAAAAAAAGGTAGATAACAAAAATAAAATATTTTTTATCTGGTTTCATCTTACTTCGTAATCAATGTGAACAACAACAACAACAACAACAATAATAATAATAATAATAATAAAGAAAATTGTTGACGTAACTCTTCCAACATTTTGCAACTCCTACAGAAGAGCGCTATGTAAAAAAAAAAGAGAGAAATAAAAAAAACAGTGTTTTTACAACGTTTAACAATATTTTGACAGTATATCTATCTTCAAGTTATTCTTAAAATTGCGTACAAATATAAAAAAAAATATTTACACGTCTTTGTCTTGAGAAAAACTGTTGTACTGATCAAATATCTTACTTTAAAACTTATGGAACTCTCATGAACAAAATGACAGGAGATTTCCGTATATATACTAAATTAGGTACTTCCACAGAAACGCAATACTTAACGTTTAAATATTTCCAATAATCAAAATACATTTACTGTAGCTTAAAACTAATTTAAATTGACTGGAAAGAATTTCGTTTTGAAATTGCTATAATCGCTGATTTTAACGTCATTTCTATTCATTCGTCATCACGATGTAATTGCCTTTAAAATAAAAAAATATTGCCTTTAAAATAAAAATATATACTTTTCTGAAACTTTATTTAGCTGATTTAAAATATTAGCTGACTTAAAGTTTAATTAATCTGAACTGGAACAAATTTTACTTCCTTTAAGCTTAAAATATCACACAAATGCATTTTTAACACTGCAGTAGCTTTTATTGAAGGTGTTGACAGCTTGACTGACAGACGGAAGTTTTTCTTTTTTTTTACGGTGGATATATCTGTAAAAATTACTTGAGCTGAAAGTTCTTTTTAAAATATTGTTGGTCTCTAAAGTGTAATAAGCTTTCCATTTATGCTTAATAAATATATATTTTACATAATAACAATTTAACCTAACTTGGTCAAATTAAGACATAATTTTCAAAGATTTAAAACTTTATAAAATAATATAATTAAAATTTTTTAAAATTAAAACAGTTCTTGCAAGCATTCATTATTCATCGAAAATGTTTTTCCTTAAGACAATAGTGTCAATAATATATCTTATTCATAAAAGCAATTAAAAGTTTTTCTAATTAAATAATGTCTTAGTTTCATTGCATATTTTATTTTAGGATTCAAAGCAGATTTTCGGTAACTGCGGTTCCTGTTTTACAAAAATAAATGATGATTTAAATTCTCCAAGGACTTCTGCTTTTAACTAAAATAAACATTAAGCGGATTAAAATTTAATTACTCAAAATTTCATAAAATGAAATAAGTGGGGTCTACAAGATGTAAAAAATATATAGTTACCAATATTTTCTGAAATAAAATATCTCTAAAATAATTTAATTTATTTGTGAATATGTCCTGAAAGTTTCATTAAGATCAGACAATTATTTGATTTTTGCAAGAATTTCCAAATTAATGGGTTTTTCACCGCAAAAAGAGGCTAAAATTTCCTATACTAATCTTTGTTCACCCCGCTGACGAGAGGAAGAAAAAAACAAGATTTTTAACTAAATTTTCGAATTTTCTAAAAAGAATTATAAAAATATAATTTAATAATCAAAATAATCCTTTCCTCTTAATAATAACAAAGATTTTGACGATAAAACTTTGTTTTTATTAAGTTTGGGTTATTTTTCTTGATGGAATTAGTGGAAGTACCAATACGAAACTATTAGATTAATTCCTACTAATCAAGTAACGGAAATTTTCAAGATGAGCACGATCCTCATCCTGCGATGCACCTTTTAGTTGCATTCCATTCACACTGGCTGAGTTTAATTCACTTTGTCTCGTTGATTACCACTACAACCGTTTTTCTCAGGACAAGCGACGTTTGTACAAAGACTTGTATTTCTTTTTATATATTTTTGGACTTGTAAGCACTTTTTAAACATAACCTGAAGAAGACAGACATACTGTCGAAATATTGTTAAGCAAAACAGTGTCTCTTTTCTTTATCCTTTCTTAAATCGCGATCTTCACTTTAATATATATTATATATTGTTGATCAGGCTAGACAACACGCTCTTTCCCGGAAACTGTAACTAAGGTCTGCTCAGAATAGTTGCAGTTTAAACCACAGGTGGGCTCTGTGGGTTTTGAATAAACACAAATGTGCTTGAGCAAGCGTCTACAACAGGGATTGGCTAGTCGCCCTAGTAGACGGGTATCCTCGAATAGGAGTGGCCAGCTATATACCGAGCAGACGCAGAGAGTTAAGAGCAACTCTCTGCGTCTACTCGGTCTCACGTTCACTGCTGACCTGAGATGGAACAAATACATTGAGTCAATTGTTTCGTCCACCGCGAGGAAAGTTGGCTCTCTGTGCCGCGCAAGGAAATTTTCCTCCCCGGAATCGATACTTCAAATCTACAAATCAATCATTCGCCCTTGCATGGAGTATTACTGCCATATATGGTCTGGTGCACCTTCTGTTTACCTCGGAGTTCTTGACAAGATCCAGAGGCGGATATGTAATAAAATTGGCTCTGATCTGGCATCTCGTCTACAGTTGCTCTCTCACAGACGCGTCGTCGTCTCACTCTGTCTTTTTTTACTAATACTTTCATGGTAATTGCTCCGATGAGCTGCTTTCATTGGTTCCCAGACTTCATGAATTCAAGCGCCCTACGAGGCTGGCATCCCGCTCTCATCCTTTCACTGTAGAAACTTTTAAATGTAGCCGTCTCTTCTACTCCAATAGCTTCATATCTCGCACCTCTCGCCAGTGGAACACCCTTACCTATTACTGTTTCCCTGAGAGCTATAATCTCCAGATATTCAAATGTAATGTCAATCGACATCTCCAGTTACCTTGATCTATCCACTATCCCTCTCCTCATCCTTTCCTCTATTACTCCTATCTGCTCTCGCTCCAAATCTTCTGCAACCCCCTGCATCCTAGTGGCTTCCCGCTTTGCTCGGGGCGTAATGTTAATATATATATATATATATATATATATATATATATATATATATATATAGGAAATGTATTAAATCCGACCTATTCTTATTTTTTATTTCTTTTATATAAACATTATTTTTTTTTATTGATACTCATATTCGAGTAGAAGCTGTTTTTTTTTGTTTTTTTTTTATTTTGTTTTTTTTTTTTTTTGTTTTTTTTTTTTAATTAAATAGTATTTTATATCCAACTACATCTACCGGTCTGAATATTGAAGAAATCTTGTCAGAAAAATAGGCGTCCTCCGGCAGCATTTGAATCTGCATCACTTATGAGGAACCGTCATGTCATTGGATCTAAAGTGCCTAACCGCTCGGTCATGTAGGTCTTACGGTCAAACGAAGCTCGAATAATGCCTTTTGAACACACACTCTCCGCCGATTCTCGAAACATCCATATCTGCTCTGTATTGTATTCTAATGCAAAGACAATTAATATTTTTAGGAAATGTATTAAATCCGATTATTGTCATTTTTAATTCATTTTGTTTAAACGTTATATTTTATGGATACTCATGTTCGTGTAGAAGCTGTTTTTTTAAGTAAACAGTATTTTTTATCCAACTACATCTGGCCTGAATATTCGAGAAATCTTCTCAGAAAAAATATGCATCCTCCGGCAGGATTCCCCGATGGGAACGGTCATTGGATCTGACGTATCTAACCACTCGGCCACATAGGGCTTTCGGTCAAAAAGCCAGAACATGCGCAAAATTCGTGCAAAGTTTGTTCCGGGGGCCCTCATTGGCGAACAGAATGAATGACGTGTTGGTGACAGCAGGGAGATGGTTGATGGTCATTAAATGTTTCTCGCACCCTGCAATCAGTCCAGACCTTACTTCCTGTGGCTTTTGGTCGTTACTCAAACGGTTCAAGAATCTCAGGAGTAGTCGTATTGAAGACATTGAGAATACAAATGAGGCTGTGACAATTACATTTTGGATCACATCCATGTGGTCTTCACGGTATCCATATTGATGGCACAGCTATTTACTCCTGTCTTAATAGTAAATCTGATCAGTTCGATAAGGTCAAATTGGCAGCTGGATTCAAAAATGACCTTCTGTTGTTAAATGGGGCAAGGAGTGACTTGTTAATTTTTACGCTTCAAAAAACAAACTGCTCTCTTTTAATCATCTGAGAAAACCCTTTTTACCGTCAGTCAGCATGGCTGATGCTAACCTCCAGGAGAGTGGTTCATCTGTGTCTTTTTTATAAATACTTTCATGGTAATTGTTCTAATAAACTTTCATCTATTGTGCCTAGACTTTATGAATTTAAGCTCAGTACTAGATTGGCGGTTAGGTGTCATCAATTTATAGTTGAAATGGCTAGATGTAAGCGTAAGTTCTATGCTAACTGTTTCTTCTATCACACTTCTCCATTGCAGAACTCTCTTTCGGCTTCTTGCTTCCCAGTTTATTTTGATCTTCAAAAATTTAAATGCAATATCAATCGTTATCTTCTCTCTTTTTATTCCTTTATTGCTCTCTCTTGTTGCGTTCTAGTGGCTTTATTGCCTTCCTTGCAGGGTGAAATGATTCAAATAATAAAAATAAGAATAGTGAAAAGGAAGTAGAAATTCTTGGGATGAAAAAGAAAGTTATTGATGATTTAAGAAAATCGAATGAATTTTATCTTTATGTGAAATACGAAAGGTTTTTTTAATCAGTAATGCTTGTATGTATAGAAATTCCCTTTCATTCTAATATGTCCAATATTTTCTTAAGTGAAGCCTTCGTTTATCCAAACCAATGTTTCCAAACCTATTTTCAAACAAATTCCCCTTATGCACAAAGGTTTTTCTACGCCCCACACTATCAAAATAAATTTCGAATATTATTCTGAATTCATTTTTCATAGCAAGATAACACCTCGTGTAAAAATAAATGTAATACTGTTTTCCTTTCTATTAGAAATACCAGTGATTAAAATGTTTAAAAAAAAGCTTATTTGATAGCTTATCTCAATGTTTTCAATACGATGGTTGACTTTGGTGCTTACTGGCTAACAATCTTATTCTAGGTCCCATGCTGCTTAAAAATAATCGTAGATCTCCTCGTTTTGTAATCGGCAGGTGGTTTCTTTGTTTAGTAAGAAGCTGTGTAACTCTGTTGAAACCACATTCAGCCATATAGGAAGTTGGAAAAGCAATGAAGAAAAGTTTGATAGTCTCCCACAAATACCTTTCAGAAATGTCCTTTTGTATCCAATATAGAATAATTTTTGAAAATTTGAAAAAAAAATGAATAAATGCCGCTCACTCACCTGAGTATGTTCACCGCCCCCCAATGAAAAAAAAAACTCCCAATGCCCCCTTTCAATATAACAGAGTCCACAAGAGGGTCTCTAGTGCCTACGTTGAAACACTTAGCTAAAGATTATATTTGTATTAAGCAAACTCTAAAATAGAAAGCCTTCATTTGCATTAGGTTTTTAGTGAAAGTCCTCTTTGATGATTGGCTCAAAGAGTAAACCAATAGAAATAAAGATATTACTGTGCTTACATCAAGATTTTGAATTCTCAGCGGAGAAATACCAAGGTTTCTGGTGATTGAAACAATGATAAAAAATTTGAACATTACAACGTTGCTTTCGACGAAAAACTTGTACAAAACTGAAATAGAAAAAAAATATTTGAAAAATCAAAGAATTGTGTCGACATATTTTCAGAGATTGATTGATTTGATTTTTACGACTTATCAACCTCTTGCAGATTATTTAAAGCCAGAAATTATTTTTAGATTGTAAGAATATTTTGGCGGTAACAATGATTTTACTGCTATAAATCATACAAGTTCTTCTCTGGGTATGACGATAAGCTACGTCCGGCAGCAAGGCGTCTGATCTGGAGATTGGAGGTTTTGAGGAGCGTGGAACCACCTCTTAATTGTTTTTGTTCCCAGGTCCACCCTGACCTGGGGTGGTAGCATCTGTTAGGGTCCCAGCTATAGGCAAATAGTGAACCTCCAAACAAAAACAAAATACTATGAAAGTATAAAAATACCTATTTATAGTAAAAGGATGGGTTGATAAGCCGTAAAACAAACATTTTCTCTCGGGGGGGTTCATAGGTTTCCCAAGGGTATTTACACGTAAATGAATATAACAAACCCGTCTAGAATTAGTATTTATGTGCGTTAGTAACCTTAGGTTTTAACCTTTGATGCTCTTGTACGAATTTGTCCAGTTACTCTCAGTTGATGCTCTCAGTTGATTAAACAATTGATTTGTCTTTTTTACGGCCTATCAACCTTTTTTCAGGTTATTTAAAGCCAGAAAATAGTTTGAGGTTCTAAGAATTTTTAAAGATAATAAAGATTTAGTGATACAAGTCTTACTGATTAACCCATTGCTGGGTGTGTGTGAGATGGATTCATACATTTCACAAGGATATTTGAACTTAAGTGAACAGAAAGAACCCAACCAGAATTGGAACTCGGCTCAGTATTTTTATCTAGATGAGTGGCAACTTGGGAATATCTGGTACTCTAAGCATGAATATGCGGGATAATTGTAGATTGGAGAGTCAAATGCCAGTCGGATTTTTATATTTGCTTACTCGCAAATACATTTTTCAAAATATGGATCCATCCTCCTTCCGGTTAAGGGTAAAATAGTATGTCTTGCATGTGAAAAACATAATTGTTAGTCTCAAAAAATTGTTTCTACAATAAACACTTGCAAAGAAGAAAGAATAACCCTTACAATCTGAAATGGCTTTAAATAATCTACAAAGGGTTGATAAATCATAAAAACAGATCAGTCATATTTAAATGATTAAAATTAGTCTAAAAATGTAAATATATAAGCAAATGGTTAAACAAATTAATAGTTAAAATTCTATGGCATCACCGAATCCGGGTTCAAAAGGATAAATCATTTCATTGTTCTTTTAGATTTAGAGCAAATCCCCTAATAAAATTTCTTGAAATTTACTCTCTTCACAGCGTTACGAAGGATATCATTTTTCCCCCTAAATAATGAGTTCTTTTCGGATGAAACTGTAGTAGTAGTAATAATAGTAGTAATAGTAGCAGTAGAATTAGTAATAAGTGGACAAATATTATTGTACTTTTTATTTGCGATTATGTTGCCGGAATGCTTTTCATCGTTAAAGACTGTTATTAACTGCCATCTCTTTTTAGAATAGTTTATACACATTTCGAAATATTAATTGTCAGTCGAGTATATTATATATATATATATATATATATATATATATATATATATATATATATATTGGTGGATCTGATTATAAACATAACAAATTTTGCTGTTATCTCCACCCTCTTCTTTCCTACTTTTTCCTTATTTTTCTTTTTTGTCTGGAAAAGAGATTGTATCTTGTATTTTTCTTACTCCTTTATTTTCGCTTTTTTCGTGTGAAAAGCGGTTATAGGTGGTTTTAAATCTCAATAAATTGTCTACTAACCAGTCATTTACTAACGCCTGATGCGATGTGTTAATATAGACATCGAAACATGATTGTATTTATATAGCGTTTATTGACATGTTGATGTAATATCCTAAAATAAAGAATATAGCTCTACTATTGTATTGAGCCCTCTTTTAAATTAATGTCGGAATTTATATTCGATTCTTTCTCATTTCATATATATATATATATATATATATATATGTGTGTGTGTGTGTGTGTGTGTGTGTGTTATGCAGTGCTCCATTAGAACATATATATACCCACTACAAAACAGTACATCTTGTTTCAATGTTAAAAATTAACGTTTCTTCAGGTGGGATACCATGATGGTACTCTAATATTCTAATGTAACAGTGCATAATAAATAAATATTTATTGCTCTACTTTTTTGTATTGAGCCCTGTTTTAAATTAATGTTTTGAACGCTGAAATTTTACTTTTGTGTGTGTATGTATATATATATATATATATATATATATATATATATATATATATATATATATATAAAAAAGAAATATAGTCTTAAGGTGTGCTATATTTATGGGATAAAGTGCTCAATATCAGAGATAGAGTGTGTGTAAATATAAAAGTCAACACTTAGAGGCGACAGTCTTTCTCATGCTAGATGAAACCATCAGGCCACGGGTGCTGTTCAGCACTCGTGGCCTGACGATCAATGTTCACTTTTATATATATATATATATATATATATATATATATATATATATATTCAGAGACTGGTCTTGGTTCTTTCACTGTAAGAGAAATGAAGATAGGACTGCCCGAGTATACGGTGGTTATAGTGTATTTTTTTTTTTACTGAGATAGTAATTAGTAGAGCTAGATTTAGAATTTTTATAGCTGTCATATTTTAAATCTTTGCTTTTAGATGTCGTTATGCAATTTTCAGACCAGAATGACGTCATCGGTAAAAATAATATTCCTGCTTACGTACAAAAACCTAAAAAAATTCCACCACTACCATCACCACAAAATATATAAATTTAAGCGAAAACTTACGAGGGATAGACATGCCAAATTTTTCCCTTTTGTGGAATAAGTAACATGCACTGACGTCATAGGCTGAAAGGTCTGGTTGTTCTTTCGTGTAAGCGTAAATGTTGAAATCATAGTCAATTTGTTCCTGTAAATGTAAAAAAAAATCGATTAATCCCGATAACAATATATCTTTCGATGAAATGGAGAGTCTTTCGATCAATTATTAATGCGGATTATTTCAATGTTTTAATTTTAAATGACACGAACCTCAGGCAGGCTGACTCGAAACTGTAATGGCGTAGCACGTTCAAAGGAACTTCCGGTTATAGCGAGAGTTGAATCCTGGGAAAAGATTATTGCGTAGTATTTATCGGAATATAAAACGTTTGTGGCATAAAAAAAAAAAAAAAAATACAGCCATTTCTAACAAAAGTCACCACTCACTAAAACATTAACAAACGTATCAAGATCATTGCATTAAAACGAAAACAAACGCAATTAGACTCGCTGAAAAAAAGAAAACAATATACGAGACAAAACCAAGATGCGAATCCAAAATTACGACCATCTTAAAAGATAAAAGATATTTTAAAAATAGCTATCTGGCAATCTTTAAAAAAACATATAACTAAGCTTATTACTATTAACTAGAAAGTGATAGGCTGATTTTTTGTTGTATCACCTCATATTGTCATATTGCGTAACTTTTGGAGTAATTTACACGTCTACTTATCATCTCTCAGTTGCGTCTCTGTCTTTGGGCAGAGTGCACTCATCGGCTTCTCTGTCAAAGGACAGAGGGGAAACTGAGAAAATCATACTGAGAGGTGCCCAGCCCTGGGGAACAGCTGCCCGAGGCTGCGCCCTCCCACTGCACCAGAGGGAAGGATCAGTGCTCGCACCGAGGCCAGCGCAACCGACGGTTGCGGGGGCTGAGGGGAATTTTTGTTCCTGTCCCGGGCGTACGCGCTCGGGTCCCTACCAAAATATAGAACTTGTGTCACATCTCGTCCAAGTGGGGGGGACAGAATAAATACTTACTCTATCTGAAATGTTCACACACACACACACACACACACACACACACATATATATTAAGGTATGTGTTTGCAAGGACTAAGGAAAATTTCTAATTAATAATCTTTTTTTCTTTTTTTTTTCTTGCTTTTTCACAAGTTTTTTTTTTATATTTGTGTCTAAGTTGTTGAAATAAAACCCTAGTCCATGGTGTTTTGCCGAGCGCTTTCGGTTATCATCAACCGTCATCATGGCTGTATGTTTTGGTTTGGAATAGGTTGCTTATTATTCTAGTTTTATAGATAATATTTTGTGTCTTTAGACGATATTGTCGGATTATTTCTTTATTAATAAAGAGAGTGTTGATCTTTATCATTTGGTGGATTAGTTATTAAATATGTTTAAGATCTTCTACTAGCACACACACACACACACACACACACACACACACACACACACACACACATATATATATATATATATATAATTATTTTTTTAAAATATGATTCCTTCGCTACATAAGAGTTCTCATGTTTCAAAAACAAGAGCTGAAAACTTCAATATAATTATTAGAATTAAATTGAATTAAAGCATCAAGCTCTGTGTCATCTTCAAGCAAAATCTTTGGAATAACTAATCTTGAAATTTTTGTGTCTTTATAAGCATATTCATTCGTAAAATTAATTACTATGGAAACGGCTAGAAGAATTATTTAAATAAGGTGCGTAAGAGTTAACAATTTGTATCAACATATCAGTTACTTTCGGAAAGAGGTCATGTCAAGATACGGTTGGGGTGTCAAATTAAAGCGGATGATGACATCAAACTCATACCGTCTAGTCTGCTTCAGTTACAGAATAAATGGTGTTATTGCTACTCCGTTAAGTATCTATGGAGATTTTTTTTCTAAAAGGTTTGTTTGTACATAAAAGTGTCGTATTGAACTACAAATTGTTTTTTTGACGACTTCATAAAGGGTTTTTTTATCTTGTGATTGGGTTGAGCTTTTAAACCTTTTATTTAGACTATGGAATTTAAAATTAATTTTTATTTATTATTTATTTGTTTTTTATGCTAATTATTTAATGCGAAAATTTGTTGATGCCGGCAAAAAACCGTTAACTCATATCTATGATTTAATAAATTTTCATTTAGGCTCTACTTTTGTATCGAGCACTGTATTTAAAAAATAAAAACAAAAATACTAAAGAACTTCGAATTATTCACCTAACGAGTTCTTTCCTATTTTCTACATATTTGCGCGCACGTGCACGCTCACACACACACACACACACACACACACACACACACACACACACACACACACACACACACACACACATTGTATCTATAAAAACTAACGTATAAACAGAAAATATATTAAAGTAATTGTCGAACTTAGTCCGTTTCATAATACACACACACACACATTGTATCTATAAAAACTAACGTATAAACAGAAAATATATTAAAGTAATTGTCGAACTTAGTCCGTTTCATAATACACACACACACACACACACTAACGTATAAACAGAAAATATATTAAAATAATTGTCGAACTTAGTCCGTTTCATATACACACACACACACACACACACACACATATATATATATATATATATATATATATATATTCAGAGACTGATCTTGGTTCTTCCACTTTAAGAGAAAGGAAGATAGAACTGCCCGAATACACGGTGGTTCCATGGATTTTAATATAGTCTATTTTTTTTTTTACTCAGCTAGTCATTTGCATAGCTAACTTGAGAAATTGTATAGCCATCATATTTTATAAATCTTTGCTCTTTCCATGTCCTTATGCAATTTTCAGAGCGGAATTACAATCTTTAAAAACATACAAATAAGTTTATTACTAATAAATAGAAAGCTACATGAAATTTTCCTGGTTTGCTGTTTTAATTTTTTAATGAATCGTAATTCTTTAGTTAATAATTGAATAAGTACCTTGTGAGTTGTACGACTATAAAATAGCCGGGAGATTTCCCAATAGCATCGTTAAATATTTAGCAGCTTTAACAAAATATTACAATACCAATCAGCATAAGTATGAATTCAGGTCCTTATTCGAAGAAGTGTGGACGTTGTCACTTTGTGAAGAAGAGGAGGCACGCAAGGCTTAATAGAGATGTGCATAAAGGCGTCGCCGTCGAACTTTCTGAAGACATCCGTAGGCAGATCGATCTGACGTGTACAGATTGTGTTAGAGTGTGTTTATCTATGGCTGGTCTAAGGCGTCACTTAAGAGCGCACCGACGGAGGGTGGCAATTGACTGTAAAGCTGTAGACGTCCATCAACTGAAATGTGGTAAGATATGCGGGTCCAGAAGCGGTTTCATGTGACATTTTAAATTGCATGATGATGTACCACCCGCTGTTGCACCTCTTAAGTGCCCTGTTTGTGCCAGAGTATGTAGATCCCTTGCTGGGCTAAAGAGCCACATTTGTTCAGCACATCAGTAGATATTCTCCCGAAAGATATGTAGTAATGGCCGTACTCGGACACGAATTGGCAACTACCATTTAAAGAAGTAAGAGGATACAAATGAAGGGATCGACACCGTTTACCATTTCTCTAAAGCAGACGTTAAACACATAAGAGCATTATCCTTTGTTTCTTTTTTTTTTTTTCTTATTGTGTACTCTTTCTTTTTTTTTTCACAAAATGCAAACAGCATATCTGATATATTTTTTCTTCCCTCCAATCACGGAATGGTCCATTATTTATCTGAAGTAATGACCACACGTAATGGATGTGCTAATTCACTTATTAATTAACTTATTAACTAACGGGAGAATAAAATAGTAATATGACTTTTACAAAAAACGCAAAGGTAAAATATACGTCTTAAAAAATAAAATAAAATAAAACGGAAATTCTATTTATAAAAAAAAAGCATTTATTTTACACAGCATCTATTTACGAGCAGGTGTCCGTGAAAATTCCACGGTTTTCCTATTTAAATTTTCTGATAAATTATAATTCATCAGTTAATGCTTAAATAAGTCCCATGCAATTCCCCAATTGCATTGTTGAATATTAACACTTAACAACTTTAACCAAACATTGCAATAACAATCATAAATATGAATGCAGGTCATTATTTTAAGAAGTACGGGGGTACAAATGAAAAAAAAAATGAAATTGACAAGTTTTTACTGAAGTATACGTGAAACACTCCGATTGATTTTGTTTCTGTCTTTATTCTCTCACTGAAACCAACCAGCGTTCTTGAGATGTCTTTTTCGTTTTTCCTTGTGGTCAAAACGGAATAGATAACTACGACGTAATGACAAGACGTTTGGTTATTTCTTTCTCTCTCTCTCTCTGAAACCAAACAACGTCTTTGATATACCGTCTCGATCTTTCCGCGCGACCAAAACGAAATAGTCCATTATTTATGTTGGCAGAGCGTAACGTACAGGCTACGGAACGAAGAAATCAGCATAATTATTATAAGATAATACAGAAATATGATCTTCCAAAGTTGTGCAAATCAGTGGCGAATACAAACCAAGCTTTCATTTAACCACCATAGGGAATCTTTTCTGTCTGCTATCAACATGGCTGACGCTAGACTCCTGGAGAGCAACACACTACGGCTTCTTGGCATCACATTTTCAACTGACTTGAAATGGAGCGACTACATCGAATCAATTGCTGCATCTACAGCAAGGATAACAGAGTCACTATGTCGTGCCAGAATATTTTTCTCTTCAGAATCTATCTTGCACATTTACAAATCTACATTCGCCCGTGCATTGAATACTGTTGCCATATCTGGTCTGGCGCTCCAGCTGTACATCTTGAGATTCTTGACAAAATCCAAAGAAGGATCTGTAATATAATCGATCCTGATTTGGTATCTCCACTTCAGTCACTTTCTCGTCGACGGGTCGTTGCTTCCCTCTGTCTTTTCTACAAATATTTTCAACTGCTCCGTCGAACTTTTTCCCTGGTGCTCCGACTCCATGAAATTAAGCGTGCTACTAGATTGGCATCTAGGTCCCACCCTTTTACTATTGAAATAGATAAGTGCAACCGCCCCTTTTACTCTAACAGTTTCTTTTCTCGCACTTCCCACCTGTGGAATTCCTTTCCGTTAACTTGGTTCCCTGATAAATAAAATCTTCAAAAACTTAAATGCAACGTCAATCGTCATCTTCTGTATTCTTGAATCTGGTTCATCTTTTGTCTTTTCACACTATCTCACTTTCACTTCCTGTAACCCCCCCCATGCGTACTAGTGGCATTTCAGCCTTGCTTGGTGTAAAATAATATATATATATATATATATATATATATATATATATATATATGAAGAAACATATACGGAAAAAACAAACAAAAATCCTAATATGCAATTATGCTGTTTTAATTTTAATCGGACGTTTCGGTCTAGTAGACCATCTTCAGGACATATTCATAAAACATAATTAACATTAGACTATATTTAATTCAACATGAAAAAACGATGGACATAAGAGTAAGCTTGAAGTCTTCCATGTTATAAAAGTAAATTCAGGGCTGTATTTCCAGTAGACAGTATGTAAGAAAAGATGAAGATGGTCTACTAGACCGAAACGTCCGATTAACATTAAAACAGCATAAATGCATATTAGGATTTTTGATTGTTTTTTCCGTATATTTTTCTTCATACTGTCGGATCTATATCCATATATTTGCTTATATATATATATATATATATATATATATATATATATATATATATATATATATATATTTAAAATATGGTTTTTTTTTTCTACACAGTTCCAACCATGTTTCAAAAATAGAAGCTAAAAACCCCGAATTTAATTTTGCAATTAAATTAAAAAGCATTAGTTTCATTTCATCTTCAAGCGAATTTTGGAGTAACTTTTAAAATTACCGGGTTTTAAAGACACAGCTAAAATCACGTTTCCATGGTTACAGAATATTCTACTTAAATTGAACAAGGGATGTCTAGATTTTAATTAAATTCGGGGTTTTTAGCTTCTATTTTTGAAACATGGTTGAAACTGTGTAGCGAAAAAAAAAACCATATTTTAAATCAATTAATTTATAATATTAATGCTCTGTAAATTTACATTGAGCACTATTTTGTAAAAATAAAATATCTATAAGAACATCGGATTTTATATCTTACTGTTCTTTCTTTTTTATATATATATATATATATATATATATATATATATATATATATATATATATAAAAAAAATTTTAAAAAAACTCAAACCTGGCGCTGCACTTAACCTTACAGATCCATACACCTAAACGAATTGAATTAATCAAAGTAGGTTTTTGTTGTTTTTTTTTTTTTTACTGACTTACCTTGGCGAAATACCATTCCCACACAGACTGCTTTGATGACTTCCGGGGCCAACCGTTACGAACGCCAACCCAGGATTCGGCTTCTGTTCCACGAATCGTTTTCTTAAATAAAATAGAATAAAAAGAAATCGGATCATATTTCAGAGAAAAAAAAAATGAGAAGCGAAATCGAGTTTTTTTTTTTCTTCTTTTTAGAAATGTCAGCCCATTTTACTTACGCTTCCTTCATACGTAAAAGTTTTGTTAGGAAAGTTAAAAAAGCTTTCTGTGGTCGACATTCGGATATTGTGTGCGTTAACATCCTTAACATCAAGGCCTCTATGTGGAATGGGACGCGCAGTGCAGTTGCCCAGAACTGTGTTGGTAACATAGGATACACCTGTCCGCAAAAGAAATGAAAAATCAATTAAAAAATGAACGTAAAGATTATATATATATATATATATATATATATATATATATATATATAATTGAACATAGAAGGCAACACTTGAGGCGACAGTCTGTTTCATGCTAGATGCAATTGTGGCCTGACGATTGCATCTAGCATGAAACTGACTGTCGCCTCTAAATATATAAATATAGCACATCTTAAGACTATATATATATATATATATATATATATATATATATATATATATATATATAATAAAAGCAGAACGATAAATTATAAATTATCATTGACAAAGTGTTTCGCCATCGAATGGACTTTATCTACGCAAATGTAAGGATTTTATTTTGTAACAAGTATTTATAAACAGTATTGTCTTTTTACAGATATATTTTTAGTTATATCTGAATTTTTACACACACACACATACATACACTCACACACATAGACACAGGGTGAGATGGTTAAATTGTCGACATTTTATTTTATTTTTTTTCATTTCGCGCATGCGCTTTGTTCACTATTGTTTTTGTTGAGTCCACAGTATAGTAGGATCAGTTGGTCACCGTCTGTGAGAAAAAAGAGCGTCATGACGCAATTCACTCCACCAGAAATTTGGAAACAGCATACTGTACTGCTTGGCATTTACAGTGGGAGCTCCAATATGAACATTTCAGAGTGTTTGGGTGTCAATCTGATCTTTCTGATAAGAAAAGAACTCCCGAATTTGTTGGTGAGGGCATCAAACGCAATACGGAGGCCTACATCTGGCAACAGGACTCTGTCCCATGCCACACAAGAATGAGAACCCAATCATAGCTGTCAGACAATTTCTGCGACTAAATCACCCCTTACATCAGGCCACCTAACTCCCCAGACTGCAACTCCCTTGATTATTATGTGTGGGGCGCAGTTGAGCGAGAGTCCAACAAAACTCCTTATAACATCAAAGATGAACTGAAGGCAAGGATTATGGTAGCATTCATCAACTTAAACACGGAGACCGTCCAGAAGAGTTGCAGGAGATTCCGAAGTCGTCTGAAGGCTGTAGTTGAAGCTAATGGCGATTTTATTGAATAAATTTAGTCTTTAGTATTTCAAGATATTTTTGTGCAATTTTGATAAATATATCAGGTAAAATGAGATGTCAGTATTATTTTGATTTTTCCATAATGTTGACGACAACTTATCGATCGCATCCTGTATGTATGAGTGTTTCTTGAAAATGATGAACAAGTAATATGGTCCTGGAATGGCCAAGTCATTCACCGGATTTAAATCCAATCGAAAATTTGTGAAAACTATTGAAGTTACGAGTTCATAAAAGAAATCCATCGAATTTAAACAAATTGAAGAAAATTTGTGAAGAAGAATGGGTCACAATACCAACAAGTACCTGCAAGAAACTAGTTGAATTTTTCCAATTTGTTTATTCGTTACTTTATTTTAATGTTTTCCTTTTATGGAGACTAAGACAGAGAAGAAGTTGTCCGTATTACTGTCCCAAGAACTTTCAGCCAACTCATAAGCCATTATTAAAAGGCTTTGTTATTGTTGTGGATTCCGGGATGAAATCCGGTCTCAAAATGAATGACAAACGCAGGAATGAAATATAGCAAATAAATGTATTGATGTAATAATACAATTGGCAATACGGTTAGTAGATCCAGAAATGCGGTTAATAGCAATAATAATATATATACAGTCTGGGAAATTCAGTATCGAAGTAGGACTTCCTTCTGAGTCAACGTGCTCGCAACTGTGACTCCTACAAAGCGGTTACCTCACACTCTTACTCTCTCTCTATTACTCTACCTGTCGGGTATTCACTGGCAGCAGTACAAATACACCCTGGGCGAGTCCACTTGTATAAAAAGGGGTGGACACCATAACAGTTATTAGTATGTTTTTTGTTGTTGTTGTTTACATTATGACTTATATTATGTAGAAGTAGTAGTAATACAAAGCCGTACTGGACATAATCCCACGCTAAAGGTGCCTTTAAACGACCGCCAACGCGATCTAACCGTTTTCAAATAGGATAAAGTCGAGATTTGGCTTAAACCCGTTTATATAAATCGCTTCAATTATCTTAAGACATGCTATACAACTTCATATTCTTAGAATATTGGTGTTACCTACAAAAATATTTTTTTATAGGAGCAGGTTTTAAGGTTTTTTAATTGTATTTTAAGTGCTTCTTTTTCGCACTGAGATCGCTTGAATGGTTTGCCAATCTCCGACTTAATGACGCCGACTAAAAAGTAATGAAACATATATATATATGTATATTGTTGTTGTTATAATTAGTGAGTACATGTATCTAGGTTGATGTCTCTGATTTTTAAAGACTGAAATGAATATATAGCAGCCTAGAAATCAGAAGCCATATTAATGAAAATGCGCCTGCCGACAGGAAACACATCTTTATTCAATCTGAGAAACCATTTTCGTGCCAGGCGTGCTTTAGCTTTAAGCTACAGGAGGCCATTATACAAAAACGTTCAGTTGTCCTACTGACGTAATACACATCTCTTGTCAGAACATTACGAAGGCTATATCTTTTTAATAATTTTCGTACACAAAGCGTAAATTAATTTTTAAGCAATTAATGGATTTTTTTCATCAGATATTATTTCTCGTTAGTATAAATGTCATATTTACTGGGAACACTTGTTTGAATAGACTGCCTTGTTTTTAAACAGAGGAATTAATGTCAACTAGATCAAAATATCAAAAGATATTAATCTGAGTGTTATTTAGGAAAATTAATGACAAAGCGGAAAAAAAATTTCGTGTGATGTTTAGGACTTCATTAGACTAAAATGATGTAACTACACATGCGGACGGAAGAGAGGAGACACTGAAATTATAATTTTTAATTTCTTTTATGCATTTCGATATATAGTCTAGCCAATTTTATTTCGTTTATTTTTTATATATATATATATATATATATATATATATATATATATATATATATATATATATATATATATATATATATATATATATATATATATATTATATATATATATATATATATATATATATATATATATATATATTATATATATATATATTTATATTTATATATATATATATTTTTTTTCTTATATATATATATATATATACAGGGTAGCAAAAGTATTTAACACATTGGTTTTTCTTACATATCTCAAAAAATAACAGATCAATTTCAACGAAACTTATAGGAAATATTTAAACAAGCATTGTCAAAACATAGAAGGAAAATTTAAAACCACTGTTTTGAGAAACATTTATTAACAATAAATAAAATAACCCATAAGCAAAAGTATTTAACACCAATGCAAATATTATGCTAGAAGAGACGTGTCGTCATGATTCCTACCCATATTGATATGATGTGATATGTCGACCAATGACAGCACTGCACGACACTGAACTGGCTATTAGATAACAGCTCTGAGACATTGCAGCTATTCTGTTGCCACTACTGCAAGAAAATGGTGAAAACAAAAGAATTGTCGAACGACATGCGCAAGAAGATCATAAAGAATCACAAAGATGGTAAGGGCTATAGAAAGATTTTAAATTTGCTTGTGAGTACAGTTGGTGCTGTTGTTCGAAAATGGAAAAAATTCGATACTATTGAAAACATTCAAAGGAATGGTCGTTCCTGTATCTTAAATGAGGCTAATAAGCGATACATTTCCCGTACTATGAAGAAAAATCCATTTTCAACTCGTCGAGAAATTCAGAATGATTTGAAAAATGCCGGAATTGAAGTTAGTAAAGATACAATTAAAAGATCACTGAATCGTGCAGGTCTCACTTCAAGATCACCGAGAAAGACTCCATTACTGAAACACCGACATGTACAAGCCTGTTTGAGTTTTGTAAAGAAATATGAAATTGAATCTAATGATTTCTGGGAGAAAGTAATTTGATCAGACGAAACGAAAATTGAGCTTTACGGACGAAACATGCGCACTCATGTATGGAGGAAAAAAAGAGCGGAATACGAGCGAGCAAATACCATCCCTACAGTCAAACATGGGGGTGGAAATATTATGATGTGGGGTTGTTTTTCCTCAAATGGAGTAGGAAAAATGAAAACCATCGAAAGAACAATGAATGCTGGAAAATACACTCAAATTTTGTCAACTCAACTCTTGAACAGTGCCACATCTTTGGGACATGGTCGTGATTTTGTATTTCAGCAAGACAATGACCCGAAGCATACTGCTAAAACAACTAAGAATTGGTTTAATAATAATGACATTAATGTCCTGAAATGGCCAAGCCAGTCACCGGACTTAAATCCAATCGAAAATTTGTGAAAACTATTGAAGTTACGAGTTCATAAAAGAAATAAATCGAATTTAAACAAATTGAAGAAAATTTGTGAAGAGGAATGGTTCAAAATACCAACAAGACCCTGGAAGAAACTAGTTGAAGACTACGGGAAACGACTGGAGGCTGTGAAGCAGAACAGAGGCTACTGTACTAAATATTAGTAAAGTGTGTTAAATACTTTTGCATATGGGTTATTTTATTTATTGTTAATAAATGTTTCTCAAAACAGTGGTTTTAAATTTTCCTTCTATGTTTTGATCGACAATGTTCGTTTAAATATTTCCTATAAGTTTCGTTGAAATTGATCTGTTATTTTTTGAGATATGTAAGAAAAACCAATGTGTTAAATACTTTTGCTACCCACTGTATATATATATATAGTTAAACCTAGAACCTTGGTAGGTTTGTCTGGCTCTCTAGGTTTAACTAGGTCTGCTCTACTTACTGTATTGAGCACTTTATTTATGTTATTTTGCTTAGTCGTATCGGGTTTTTTTTCGTTGGGCTTTGGACTTGGATGCTAGACGATTATTTTCGGCTGATGTA